CATGCCTTGCAGCATCTCCAGCTTGATTTGTTTTCATGATATTCTTCGAAAATATGTGACGGTTGCGAGAGATTTTAAGGTCTGTGTTCTGTAACTGGGAACCCTCAATAGACTATGGATTCTGATTTTCAAGATTATCTTCCATTCTCCGGTCTCTGTTGAAGATGTGTCCCTGTTGTCGCTTTTGGGCAGTTGTTGTTGACAAACATCCTCTTGCAAATTTGCAACTTAACAAAACCAAAATCACCTGTCAATAACACTGATTATATTTGCATGGCTCACCTTAAAATGTCGCGAGCAGATTACGTCGCTTTGCACCATCTTACGTCATCCTTGGTCTCCTAACCCATATATTATATAGTGCTTCCGTAGTGAACTTTAGGCGTAGTTAAGTGACGTGATAAAATTTGGTGATGAAATGAGTTACAAATCTGTGTGAATATGGACAGTTCTTAGTTTGGTGATAGGACTAGTTCCAACCAAAGTCAACATTTATGCTACCGCGAAATAATCTGTGTAAAGGTCATTTTCGCCACGTTCCTCCAAAATTCAAACTACTTATCCTTCAACCATCAACTCACTCAATAACTGTGATACATGAAAATGGTAGACACTGTTTTGGTCGAGCGATATCTTATGCAATTGTGGAATGCTTCTGGCATTCACTTACGGGGCGAAATGTTGATTAATATTCACTGAATAGTTCTCTTTTTGTCAACGGTCGGAAGGTTTCCCGTGCACCTCCCTTGTGGAGGTAATTGCTATCAACGGTTATGCTAATTCGGTATTCAGTGTTAGACACTGATCAATCTCGAACCCTCTTTAGATGAGTTTTTCAACCTGTTCCACAAATATGCTTGGGTCGATACCGCGCAATATATCATGATATCACTGATATCATGAGAAATATTTGACAGCGGCTTTAGAGGCTTCTTCTTGGAATTGAGGGATGCCTGTACCAAACAGCTGAGAATCGTTGTCAAGCCACTTTATTTTTACTGCGAATCATCACAAGCGTGCATCTCACGAAACTCCAGGTAGCTTCGGACCGAACGTGACGTCCTGGCTGGTGGACACAGCAGGTGTGAGAAATCTATATGGTGTTTTATTTTTTCTGGCAGCGGTAACTAGTGGGATTGGCCAATCCATAGAGTGTTCTCACCCGTGATTTCCATAAATCCAGATTTACCTTCGTATACATTCCGAATTTCTCAAGTTTGTGGAAGAATAATAGAGTGGTAATCCCTGCAGGCCCTAATCGGTTACTTTCGGAACTCGGTCGGCCACTAGAGATATCGTCCGATTCTTCATCTGGGATTTTCGTCCATCCAAATTTCGTAGAATCAGAGCAGTTATATTAACGGGGTATAAATCAGTTTTCTTTGGGTTGCTTATGGTCGTTGTCTTATAGTCACTTAAAACACTTACGAACTAGCAAATGACGTAATCCGTGCTGCTGCTATACAGTGGCCTGCCTCAATTAGACAGGATGTTTACCGGATTCAAACAGCATCTGTGTAGGACATTTCGAATATCCTATTCCGCTTTTTACAAGAAAGGTCCATCGCAGTTGGGGAGTTTTCATGTCGTGTTAGGCGCAGATGGATTGTGATGTAAAGAGTTGTCCTAAGGAAAGACATATGTGAATCATGTTAATCATCCGTCACACGGCATCTACTCGGTGGCGTTGATTCGTCCTTTATTTATCCGTCAGCAATTTTCTTATCGGCCTTGTTCTGAATGAACAATAAACTGTTCGACTATCTATTATAACCCCGAAAGCCAAAACCTGTAGTTAGTTTGTTGGAGAGCATTCAGCGACATTCTGAGTAGCAATAGAATATGAGGTCGCTAGTGTCGTAATAAAGCAGTTGCGATTCTGGGCCGCCAGCTTGATGGAAAAAACAGCCCATGTATTGTAACGATAGCAAAAAACGATGCGGACCATTTGCGATTCAGTATATTTTGGCAGACACACACATTATGCGTGTCCGTTAGGAGCGGACACTATGGAAAGACTGCATCCGGCTTTGCACAGCTCCATTACATGAGCGGTGCGCTGAGCTACCTCTGAGACCTGAAGGCATAGAGACAACAGAATCTCAGTCAAGAGGTCAATCTATTTCTGCAAACTAAAGATTTACCACGCATACGACGCACCTTGGATCATACTTTTCCAACACAGTTTTGGACCAATGCCTATGAAAGTTACCAAAGAAACAGGAAGGTGTTCACACCAGATTTTCAATAAAGTGCAGCAGCAGAAGCCAGCATTCCTGAGAAAAATTGCCAAATATGCTAAAGAGTGGGGAATATTGTCAGTGAGACACACTGTCAAGCGGATATTGCACGCGGATTTAAAAATGTTACCTATGGGGGATGTTTTCGAGCATCAGCATATCTGAATTTCGGACAATTCGAAACATCTCAATATAAACTTTCTCACTGCTAGCAGAGAACACGCGAAAGCCTCTAGCTTCGTGGTAGATGAGTGAAATTGTTTGAACTCCAGGAAACAAAATACGTAGTACTATAGTGACCGGTTTCGCCCGGAGTGAAGCTCGGAAAGTAGTGGCAGCCCACAATTCCAATCAACATCATATTTCTTTTGAGCGAAGCTCCCAGGAAAACAGACAAAAATGATTCCAAATGAACCTCACCACTGACGCATGTCTTCAAATGAATGCTCAAATGAAACGAAGACTCAGTCAATGCGCCCAACTTGTGAGCCTCGAAAATGGCAAGACGGGTCGCCTGCTGTCCAAAACCCTTCACCAACCATTTGAATAATGCAATTTAGGGTGATAACCCTGCTCTGCAAACAATGAGATATTTGAAATGGTGACGAATGTCCACGTTAAGATGGGATCTTGGTTGCACTAGCAATCGATCGTGAATGTTAAGGAACAGAAATCTACTGAGACGGTTTTAGGAATCAGTATCGGTCAGCGAATGTCCACGTTAAGATGGGATCTTGGTTGCACTAGCAATCGATCGTGAATGTTAAGGAACAGAAATCTACTGAGACGGTTTTAGGAATCAGATATCGGTCAGAATAATTCGCTTGTTGATAGTTTACCAAATTTATAAAAGTTAGTCATCCTGACAGAGAACCGGCCGGGTTTTTTGGACGCAGCCCTTATTTTCAGAGAACTTCCTCTGGAGAGAATGGTTTTTGTGGGTTGCATCAACATGGCTTCGAATCACTTGGAACAAGAGACAAAGAAACATTGAAACAAAAATATCATTATTGACGTTAATAAGAATACCAATAATTTCAGCCGAAAGAGCTGGCGAAATGTTGCTCCATCACATACATGCGGAGCCTTCATCACGACTGTCGCGTGTCACTTCCGGAAACAACACACATTCGTGGTGGTCTGTTAAGACCGGCTGGGGGTCCACTCATGCCGGAAAGTGCAAAATGGCCTCTTGAACGAGCTAAGCAACTAAGCAGAACAAAACTCAACTGAGCTGTAGTCGGACACCTTTATTCCCTGCCGTCAACCTTCTTGTATTCACATTTTCACTCCAGTGGATAGGAGATCATATTGCAGATCATTTCGGATTGTATATATGTTGACTAAATGAAAGAATTTCCCACCTTCTATGATTCAACCTGGTGTTCCGGGGCATAGACGTTAACTGGCTTCGGAACATAACCCACAAGTTGTTGAAAATTATCTTTCGCGATCAACGTCAAATTTCAAAAAACGAACGGCAGAGCCGGTGATGTGGGTACCAGATTTGCCCCGGAATACCCCTCTGTGTTTCCGTTTGGTCGGATTTCAACTAGGAGTTCTTTGAGACTGCTGCTGATGCCAAGAGGAAATGCATTGGCAAATAATGTACGCATATTTTGCACACTTGTTTGCATTCACAACGAGGTCAAATCACTCGCTGTATTGTGGAGCACTACGTCTGGAATTGATCGACTAGTGCCTTGAAACACATGTGCTCATCGTTCTTGGTCAAGCTCTTTACCGTTGGCCAAAGGTGGGTTATCACGTCCATAATGATGCCGTGAAGCTTTTCTTTGACGATGTGGCCAAGCTGAATAAAGCCAAATGCATAGTAGTTGGAGATTATCGACGGACTATGAAAGATTACTTNNNNATATATATATATATTTGTGTTTTTGAATTTTTGATAAATCCATTAAGGCACGAGCAGTAACACCGGTTTGGGATATGAAGTTGACCCTGACCAGTTCGTTGATTGTGGGAAATGGTAGGTGCCTTCGCTTAGCAGGGGTACCTGTGGCAATATAGATTCGGATGGTGGAAGACGTTTCTGTCACTAGGGTGATTGAAACAACCGACTTTAAAGAAACCCAACTTATAAGGCTGACAGTAGACTGTGGAGTTGTCACTGGGTTCCCTGAACATATAACGGCATAAGTAATGCCTGCTGCAACATACAATTACAAATATCAAATATGGCGCTGCAACCTCATATGGGTGAATCAGTAGCTCATATTGGCCTTGGAAATTTACAACTGGGAGATGCTCCATCTCCGAAAATATCAACGAACAGGGCACTGTCAACCAAGAGAGGGTCTTGTTGCACATAAAGAGCAAGAGGTCTACAATGCAACCGTATTACCATATTTGTGTACCACGTAATCGACTTGAAGGATCCGATCGATGGATAAACATCACGTTAGAATCTGCTTCATGAACACTAGTGTACGGAAATGATGCTCACCGACCGACTCATTTATCAGTTCGTCTAAGCCTGCTCGTTTAGGTCCTTGTGGAATTTCAGAATTTCACTGAGTGAATTCCTGCCGATAGGCCTGAAGCGCAACATTCGATTTCCTGGCGTACATTTCGAATGAGCGCTTGTTAGTACTCGCTAGTTTAGGAAGTAGTGAACTTTCGTGTGTTTGTTGGCTGTCAGCCATTTCAACACACAAATCAGTTTGATGTTAAAATCGTGCTTTTCGTCAGTATGGGACCATAAAATGAACGAACTCATTTCATCATTGTTTTTATCAGAACAAGTTTTGAAACCACACAAACTATTCGGTACAAAGTACAAATAGTCACCACTGCACTGGTGTGTACACAAAAGTGGGTTTTAAGTTGCCATGGAGCTTGCACCTCCGACTGAATCATTTAAATCAGCTAGGTAGTTCACCAAAGGCGTCGTTCAATTGAATATTTTTAACTTGATACGCAACAGGATGAGTCTGTGATGGGCCTACATCGATCATTCGTATCCGTGATTTTGTGCACTTTTGCTTTTCGCCACCTAGCAGAACTTTCTCATTCGATTGCATATTCCATCCTTTCAGTGAAGACGATCTGTGCTGATAAACCGAGAAGCAATTTATAGATGTCTGCTCTTTATTGGGAGTCACAGACATTGCACATCTCTGTCAAGCAGTGAATGACGAATCGGCGACCTGTCGACCAGTGATTGAATGCTTGATCCTCCGACAGTAAGGGATTGATCAGGTGAATGCCCTTTAATGAGACAGCACACAGCGTCATTCATCGTTCAATCTCGGGAAACAACATCACATTCAACTGCTCCTCGAGTGATAAATTCTCAGATGGGAGCTTTAGTCAACCTGTAAGCCCATTCTTTCCCTGAGCTGCTTGTGGATGATTCATATAGATTTAGGTTCTTTTAAACCCGTAGCACAGATAGGTAAAGTGCACAAGGTACCTTGTGCCATTGGTTGGTTATTCAAAAAATGTCACCGGCTAAGGTTGCCTTTCTAGGTAGCTGGAGTGGCCGTCATGCTGAATTTCGTCTATGGACCTTGAATCCCTAATTCAGCTATTTACGATCTTGACCGTCACCATTCAAAAGTAACGAAATGCGAATTTCATTTCGACAAATAAACTCATTTTCATAACACTTTGATTTTTCACAAGTAACTCGACTGAATCTCTGCATGACAGCTTGTGTCTCACCACCTTACCGTACTCCATCACATGAGTATCAGTTGTCCTCTTTTCCACCTCCTCGTACTACAGATCCAGTGAGCGCTTCCTTAGGTGATTCTGTGGGCGGATGAGAGATATTGACAAAACAGACGGGCCAGTTTGCGCAATTTCAAGGGAGATCCGATGTGGGCAAAATTAGTGATGCTACTACTGATAAACCAGTGATCACTCCAGTGTTCCAGGATACCATATACATTCCACACAAGTTTTTCTTAGAATGACAGTCCACAATAGGCACGGAGTACGACACCGTACTTGGCAGCCAGTAATTGGACACGCGTAACACATGGTCCAACCAAAATGGCCTACAATATTGGATGAAAGGAATTATCGTCTGCTAAGGCAATAACTGAATGCTAGTCGTTCTTTATTAGGCAGTGTACGCGAGAAAATCAAAAGACACAAAGGCGTTAACCTGATGCCCGAGTGAATGTGGGTTGCCCACAAAAATGCTGCACACTGAGTTTTGTGATTCATTTCGACAGATTTTTTGGAAGAAATGTTCAGGAAATTTATCGTCATCATCACTATGTGCATCAGCATCAATCTTAACAATCATCAGATTTAACCTCTGAAACTGTTGCTCGAGTGTCTTTCTTTCAGATGCTTATGGGTGCGTATCACATGACCCAGCCAACTTGGCTAGTAAAACCTTCATTAGGGGCGGGAAGTCGAAGTATGGGACGACGCATACTGCTTATAAATGACAGAAAACTCCGCTGTGCCAGGACACACTACACATATGCATGTTAAGGATTTGAAGCTCTAGGGCAATCATCATCTTCATTAACGTCAGCATCCGTGTTCAGCAATAACGCTTCCCTGAGCGCATTCGGAACTCATTACAAATTGTATACAAAATAAAAGAATCACAGTGAATGAAAAAGACCGAGAGTTCATAGATGCGATAGTATTTATTGACTATCGAAGATACCTGTCTCTACCATCGTCCAAATATTCACACTTACTGAGACACTATGGCTAACTCATTAGGATTACTCAAACTGACAGATTTATCTACACTAGTTTTGATCAAACTCACGTATTCCGGATCCGTAATCGAGGCATTCGAGTAACCGGTCGCTAGATAAACGTCGATAGGCTTGTCATTACAAATGGCGTTCTTGGTTGTCTTAGGCTGACGCTGCCACGTAGAGTGCAGGTCTGAGAGTTTCAGAAAAGAAAGCGAATGGATCTCTTTCAAGGAATTGCAGAATAGTGAGGTTTAATATCGACGAACTGATTCTGTAACTCACAGGACAGTGAGGCTCCAAGAATTCGAAAACAAACACAATAATAAGAGGGTCTCTGAAAAATCAATGGCAGAACGACATGGTTTTCAGGCTTCTTGGGATCAATCAGAAAGGCCTGGTCTTCGAATTTCGCTCAGTCATTAGGAGACGGGATGGAGCTCGTCAAACATGTTTCGGTCGGGCCTTCCAACCTACATCAGTATGTAGATATATGATATGATTATTTTCTCTGGTGAGACTACCGTCACAATATTCCACTAAAGATAACGGTCACTTCAACGGTATTATACCTGCTGGTTGATCCGTGTAAGTGTACTTTTTATAAGAGACCCATGATCCATTCATAATTTACAAATACGGCGTTGAATCCAGCAATGGGGGTTGCTGCACATGGAAGCCAAAATATCACAGGTGTTACACCGATATTACAGTAATTTTTGCTAACCAGATGAAACTAGTTTAGCAAACAACGTGACCATAATCGATTAAGGTCGGATGTTGTTCAATATCCGGGTAGAAGCTTCATGCAACTAACCAGATTCAACCTGCATTCAAGGATCACAAAAGAGCAAATATGAACCATGCTTGCAACTTGGTTTCGTTGTACTGGTCAACGCGGCATTTTAACCACGTATGACTGAATTTCCGGACAATATTTCTAAAGGTACCCACGACAGCCAGACAAAAATTACGCAAATTATTCCTCACATTTGGAGGAAGAATATGGCAAACGCAGAACCAGAGGAGCAAGCATCCATGTAATGCACCAATTCGTTAAACTTTTTGGTTAAATACATGTTGGCGAGTATATCTTTGAACTCCGCAGCACTGAGCTGTAGTAAGGCATGAAAGTCAAAATTTCGCATGACCTCGAACGATTATAGCTGAACGAGTAATGAGTCTTTGGAAATACTGTCCACTGGGATCAGTTGAAAAGCGACGCCGAGTGGGTCTTGCTTAGACCTTCTGAACTTATTTTTGAACATCCGGTTCAACGTCCTTTGTTGGCATGAAATATCAGTGTCACCATGTCCTCTGTAGTTTAAGTTATCTATTCTAGTGACAGTCAGTGAATCTCCACTTGAAAGGGCACACAAGCACCAACGACAGAGTCATAAATTCGGAATATTGAGTGGCCGGGTTGAGCGGTGGATTTTCAGATAACTAAGAGTGCTAATTTCACGGATTTTTTAGTCATTTCGACATCTCATCCGCTGTGATCATGTAGATAGGTTTGATTTCAAAATGAAAATGTCTACAATGATCAGGAGCCAGATGACTAGCCTCAGTAAAAATAATGGTCGCCACTATGGTGAACCTGATCTTGATAAGAGTAAATTGCAGCATTAGTCGTGCAGATTGAAATGCAGTCCTGTAATTCAGGCCAATGTATGGAGGAATTCCTGGTCATAATCATGTTTCACGGAAATTGATGGTAATTTCCATCTTATTGAAACTGATCTGATCTAACTCTAAACACCTGTCCTTATGACAGAAGGAACAATGATTCACACGGTAAATGTTTCTTATATGTGAGTTGTCACTTGAAGAGGAAGTCACCAGTGATGTATAATCTCTCGCTTGAATAATGGGTGACGTTATATCCTGAATAATTGCAGATGAATTAGGCTGGTTGGCCGCCCGTGGCCGGACGGTTAAATTCTGCAACCTGCAGGCGCACAAATTATGATTCCCAATAAGGATGTAAAACTTGTACGTTGCCTCCCGTCTTTCCATCACAGGTTGGCTTCTCTCTTGAGGAGTAAAGGAATTGCATCTGGTCTTGTCAGGCGAATTTGGGCGGACGCGTTTTTCTTATCATCTGCACCTCATGAGTAACCGTAAACGCCAGCCTATTTGCTTATGTAATGTAAATTCGCTGAGCGATCTAAATGCATCAACTGCAAAATCATGTGAGTTGAGCGACCTTCAAGTTTGTAATGCAAAATCTATGTGATACTATCATTTAAATCACCATGGCGCGACCATCCGAATTGAGGCGACACGCCCAAACTACATAGTTCCTTTTTCATTTCTCGGTTGATGTGTAGGCCAGTTGCAACCCTTATACTCTCTCCTATAAATAATTGCGGATAATAATAATAATAACATAAAGTCATCTAAGCCTGTAAACAACGTTCAAAATATAGCCTGGCTTTGAAAAGATGTGTGCTAAAATTGGTTACAAACGTTAACAGAACGTACTTATCCGACTGGACAGGAAATACTGTGAGCAGCACTATGGCCAGTGAAATAGATGAAAATGTTGTCATCAGGACCGCTGTAACTGAACAGCAAGGTTAAAGTTGTCTTGAATTGTAGCTAATTAAGTAGCGCTCTTGCGCATGGGAAAGCACAAAAAAGGCCGACGAAATAGGATTTCGATGGTGATATATGGCTTTTGTCATAAGTTGTAGGACCCGGTTTGTAAGTGTGGTTAAAGGAAATCATAAGGGTATAAAATGTTCCGCGGTTCATTTCTGTCCATTGCGCACGATTATGGTGAGAAAAAGCGGTGTGCCTGACTTTGAGTCCTTTCCGCACAATACCTAGGCGGCTTATCCGCTGAGTTTTTAGGATGAATTAAGTGGATGGACAACGAACATGCAGGTCAAAATATTGTTTGTACGCGCTACTGGTTATAAACAGCGGTGAGTGAACAGGAATGTAACCTTGATCTTGAAAATTACCTTATTTATTGGTGAAGTTCGAATAGAGTTTCATAGCTGGAGTAAAATCCACTCAACTGCTTTGTGCATGGCCATATAAAATGGGTGTGAAAAGTCCATAATTTGACATCCGTTGGTCTTGTATCTTGACAGTGCACAACTGCGCATATCTGAATATT